GATGACAAGCTCAGAAAGAAGATGTATGCCTGATTAAATGTAGCAACCAGACAGCAGGAGATGATATTGTACAGAAGGCTACTCCTGTTTCATTTGCTCTCCTTTATCCACTATCTGGAGAAAGGATTAGAACATTAGTGCAGAAGACTCAGTTCCATGGCAAGAAGAAATGCAGTTCGGCCTGCCCGCTGCTCAGGCTGGACAGCACCATCATGTGGGAGGTGCTCACATAGCAGCCGATGGAACAACTACATCAGGATGGCCCAAATTCTCAAAGCAGTGATAAAATTGTTTGATGTTAATATTGAAGAGCCAGAGGTGTTCAGATGGGATAAGGACAATGGGGTTCTCACTTGGTTTTCATCTTCCCTCATCCATGTTCACACTTTTTAACACTGTAAACTGACTGGGAGAGGAACCATTTCTTAAATGTCTACAGAGCACCTACAGTATTTGGGTGCTATTAAACTTTACCAATAACAAGAGGAAGCAGATGCAGATACGACAGAAAGAGATGGCACCTTCAGGAATGCTGGCATGACATAACTATTTCTGATTGTCTCTTACAGGAGCTACAGCCTGTCTGTCTGTGCACATGAACAGTAACTGTCAAGATGCTTAAGGTAAAAAGCTGAGTTTATAAAATAAATGTTCTGTCTTGGGGGTTTCCTTATGAACAGCCTAAAAATAGTGAATGCTAAAACAAACATGCTGTGGCCTGTACATTTACAATTTCAATGGCATACCCAGACTGAGAAACAGTGGTCCACTGTTTTGTAACACAGTTCTCAAATACTCCAGAAGAGTATCTGTCTGAAGAATAGTAGCAATTTAATCTTCTGCTTCTTCCAAAAAGCAATGATAACATAAATGCAAAGAAAATTAATGTTTCAGAATTCTGAAACTTTTTCTGTGCATGGGATGATGTTTTTAACCACCCACACACACACCAATTCATATATAATGAATCTAAGGAGAAAGTTGGGAATTTTTTCTGCCTTCATTCTCACAATCTTTTTGTCTAGTACAGGAGTAGAAACACTTAACAGTTCTGTGTAAGCCAATATATTTTCATATATATATGTATGTATTTTATATATATATATATGTATTTTATATATATGTATTTCATATATATATGTATTTTTAACATATTCATATATCTGTATAATCTTTCAAAGGAGCCTATACAATATGCTTAGCTTATAGTTCTGAAACACTCAGGCCTACCTCACTGAGAGTGCACATCAACTCAGACAGTCAAAAGAAATGAATTTTTCCTTATTTAAAAAGGAAAGCTGTGAAAAGCTGTTTCTTATCTATCTTCTTGTATACTTTACATATAAAAATTGCAACATATTTTGTAAATGGGTTCCATGACTATTCTAACTTGAAACCAACATTTATGCCTCTGTATAAGAGACAGTCCTCCAGGACAGGAGATGAGGGCAGCTCTTGTAGAAATTAGTTGAAGAACAATATGAACAATCTCATATATATTCCAGTCACAATGTCTTACTCCACCATTTCATAATTATGCACTGCAACAAAGCTAGTTTGGAAATTTTGAGTGAGTTCCTCTGAGTATCCTAATCTCTAAGTCACATGAACAGAGGAAACATTGAGAAGACTGACATAAGTCACATCCTATGTTTAGTAAAATAACTTGCAAAGGAAAACATCCCTTTCAAAGGATTTAAAGCATGTTTTACCTACAAAAACAGTTAAAACTCTTTAAAATGGTGTCCCAGTAATCCCTCCTTCACTGAAAGGAAGAGGCAAAGAGGTAGATGCAGCACTATAGAGAGAAGGGCTGTGCTGGTGAAGCTGGTGTCAGTGCCTGGTACATGTATTTGCATTTGTTAATAGGAAAGTGCTCCTGTTTAAGGGCTGCAGATGAACAGAGCAGTCAGTGGCACTGTTGGGGCTTCCCTCTGGGGCACACACAGAAAGCAGATGGAAAGTGACACAGTGCTTATCCTCTTTTACAACATCCCCAACACCTATCGCCCTGTCCCTCCATCATCCTGTGGCCATGTGATTGTCAGCGGTCAGGAAGCAGGGAAAGTGAAGGCAGAGCTTCCAGAAGCTTCTCTGCACACATGGCCAGGCCCACAGCCATTCACAAAGCCTAGATGCAAAGTTGTTTTTTACATAGGAATAGGGTAACCTCCAGCTGCTCTCTTCAGGAAACTCACACACCAAACTTTCAAATTTCTACTGAGGAGCAGCCTTTTGTACCTCACCTCTTCCAAAAAAGTGTAATAGAACAAAAGTCCCAATATGTAAATTAAAAGCTACTATTGTCAGTTGTTACCTCTTAGTTTGGGGGTTTGCTTTTATCCCCTTAAGTTTTTATACAAAATACTAAACGCTATCAAGAAAGCCATGAAAAAATCATTCTGTATTAGTGGACTGTTTGAAAATGTGACCAAAATGATTAATTTTTTAATCTGTGGTTAGTTCCTATTCTCTTAGGGGTTTTTCTATACTGCTTATTTAAAAAGGACTTGTCAAGGCACACACAAATGTATTATGCCTTTCCATTATGTTTATAAAAATTTATGATTCTATGATTGAGAAGAGGTTGGAAACAACATTTAAATTAATATAATTTGAGAATTTTAAAAGTGTAAAATCTATATAAAGATATTGCTTTTGAAAATCAATTGTCGTAAATACTACCATGTATTTTATTTTTAGAAAGTAAGTAATATTTAGGTTTCATTAACTATGTTAAGTCTAGTTTTTCAGCAGTTTTTCAGTGGAACACAGTGTTACATTATGTAATTGCTAAAATCTGGGTAAATATTTGACAACTTTTTTTGACATTTTATGGCCTAATTTGTTTACAGATGGCTCTAATATTTTGAACATTAGGCTTAAGAGAAAAAATAAGATCAGAGTGTTCTTCTAATCATTTAATGTACTGAAACATTTACAGCTAAAAACAAATCCGTGAAGTTGCTAGGCACTGCAAAAGGCAAAAACTAATTAGCTATCAGTTCTGCATAAGATGCCATCTAATTTTAGGACACAGAATGATTCATTAGTTGTCTAATTGAATGGTTTAAGGTCAATTTTGTGTGCATTACTATTTTAGGACTGCAATTTAATATAATTTGGAATGACAGAAGAATTGGATGCATGGCTGTTTTACAAAAGCACTACAAGGAAAGGATCAAAACCATGTGCTAATTTCTGTTTTTGTTGTATCACTAGCAAGCTAAAATACATTGCTGTTGGTAAACTTTTAGGAACTTGTTAAAAATACCATCTTGAAAATTACTTTGTCTCTCCAGAATTTCACATGCAATGTTGCCCTCAATTAAATTTATTCTAGTTTACTCTACACAAAGAGAAAATAATACAAAATTATTAAAAATTATTAATAACCCTTGTGCATATTTGGACACAACTTCACTGTATAAGTTGTAAGGAGTAAAGCTGAAGTTCTGTAAACTGCCAAATCATTTCAGCATATAAATAGTTAAATTTGAATGTACCTGGTTTCATATTTATAACTTTTCATTAAATCAGGCTTACTTGAACCTGGTGTTGATTTTGTTATTTGATAGAAACTAGTAGGTGTAGTTACAGTATCTGGGATGGTAAGTACAATATGTGTAAAATTAGGTTAAGAATTAATAAGAAAGCCACAAGAGAACAAAATGGAAAACTTCATTAGAATGTTGGCTAATACTGGGGTCTGATTCTCTCCTTTCTTTTACTCAAAGAAAAATAGATTAAAATTGGAAAAGGTATAACAAGGATGACTGAAGACATAGAACATATTTTCTACTGGGAATAAACTAGGATTATTTTTAGCCTGAAAATTATATGATAGAAGTCAGTGAAATCACAAGGGACACTGAGAAAGTGACAAGAAGATGCTGATTCATGGTCCTAACACGAGATCGAGCTGGCATCACATGAGCTTACAGATGTGGAACAAACAACTGGGAACAAGCAACAGGACTGCAGAAGTGTTTCATTGCAAAATAAGTGTGTGAATTTGAAAATATACTGCCTGTGGACAGGACAGCTATCAGAAACACACAGTTTCAGAATGTAACAGGGCAAACTGACAGATGAAAAATTGAGGGTTACTAAAAATAATGATAATACATGTGGCTGTAGAAATTAAACAGCAAAAAAAAAAAAAAAATTAAAAAAGGGTGTGCAAAGAGTGGAAATATGGCTTTATATGTCTTTGCTATTATCTTGCCCAGACAGAACTTCTGGTATGAGCCAGTACTGCTGGTCTAGACTGTTAAAATATCTTAACAATTTGGTTGGTACTTAAAAAGTTACTAAATATGACACAGAAGTTGTCATAACACGGTCGCGCCAGGAAGCAAGCAGTAATATATATTGCATTGTCGCGGCTTTTGAAACAGAAATGCTATATTTTAAAAATTTACATTAGCTAAGACTTCTTTCAGCGGAGGTCAGAAACATCACGGCCTGGTGTTTGAGCTGGTGGTACACGATCCGTGCGGGGGCGGGGACGGCTGTGGGGTTCGCGGCGGGCCCGGGCAGCGCTCGCAGCCGCAGCTCCGCTCGGCCTCCGGCGCAGCCCTCAGGGGCGGCGGGGAGGCGCTGCCGCGGTAGGGGCGGCAGTGCGGGGCAGTCGCGGCTGTGCCCGCGGCTGCTGCCCGTGTGCTCCGGGCTCGGGCAGCTCTCACCGCCCCACAGCGCTGCCGAGTCCCCGCCGTGCCCTTTGTCCCCTACCTGCGCGGCCCCGGCCCGGCGCGGCCCGCGGCGCGGTTGTCACGGCGACGGGGCCGGCGGTGATTGACGGTTCGGACAGGCAATCAGCGCGCTGCTCTGCGAACCCGCCCCCGCGCCAGACAAGAACTACTCGTCCCAGCACGCCGTGCGTGGAAGCCGCGCCGACGGCGGGACTCTGCGGCGCGGGGCATGATGGGGTGTGTAGGCGACAGGCGGCGGCAGTCCCCTCTGCAGCCAGGCCGCCCCAGCCCAGGCATCGCCTCGGTATTTGCTGGGCAGTGCTGAGGCAGCCTTCCGCTAGGATTGAGGCGATTCGATGCGGTTTGTTAATATGACGATTTGTAATCTATATCTTTTGTATTTTGGATGCATAAAAATAATTTAGTTTGCCTTGCTGCAATGTAAAACACAAGGAACCCCGGGGTATCTTTCTCCCTGTGCGGAGCACCCGGTGCTGGTCCTTGGTGCCACTCCGAGGTCTGTCCACTCCTTCTTATGGTAAGCAGGAGGGTCCCTTCGGTCTTCCTTAACAATCTGTACAGCCAGGAATTTCCCCTTCTCAAAATGCCTGCTACTCTCTTTGTTTTGGTCTTGGCCTTTTTTTCCCTTCTCCTTTTGTACCAGTGTTCCGAGTGGTACTTGCAGCACAAATTAAGCAGCTGAAGACTGTGCACAGTTATAACCTGAGGTTTATCCTCTTGTCAGGCAGCAGTGCCAAAGGGATAATTTCCGCGGTGCAGCGGGACTGGCACAGACCCGAGGCATGAGTCCGTTCTCTCTGAAGTTCAGTTAATAACTTCAATAGCTTCATTGTGTGTAAGTGGAATTACTTCAGCGTATTCACTAGCTGCCCTTCATACCTACAGTTCTGTGATCTGAAAGGGGGTTTTGGGGCTTTTTTTGTTTGTTTGGGGTTTTTTTATGACGGGCGCGACACAGCTATTTATAACAACATTACTTCCCCTGGTGGAGAAGTCTAAGTCAATAAATCTGGAGCCGGCATTACCATCCTATAGGAAGTGTATTACAGTGTGGAGAGCCGCCCGTCACGTGCGGCAGGAGGGAAATGTGCGGCACAAGGTATTAGAGGCCGGGTGTGCCGGTGTGCACGGCACGGCACGGCCCCGCACGGCCGAGCCTAGCCCGGCACAGCCCCGCACAGCCGAGCCTAGCCCGGCACGGCACGGCCCAGAGGCCGGGCGGGCTGGCGGAGGCCGCGGCTCTCCTGCCCAGCCGAGCGGAGCCGGGCGGGCGCGGAGCGGGGGCGGCTGCGGGCGCGGCGCTCTCACGGCCGCCCCCGCGGCAGCCCCCGGAGGCCGGGCAGCGGCAGGAGCCCTCACGGGCGGCAGGTACGCGGGGGCCTTTAGCAGCGGGGAGAGGGCCGGGGGTGCACCCTCGGGCCCCAGGCTGCGCCTCTGGGGTGCCGCAGTGAGGGGCGCCGAGCCCGGAGCGGCAGCGGCTGCCGCGCTCCGGCCCGGCCGCGGGTGCCGATGCGGTGCGGATGGGGATGCGGGCGGCTCCCTCGGCGGCCCCTGTGCCATCCACACGGCTGCGGCAGCCCGCGGGGCTGGGAGCCCCCTGCAGCGGTTGGCAAGGGCAGGGCGGCTGAGGGAAGGGAAGGGAAGGGCCCGGCCCGCGTTGTGACCGCCCCGGCTGTGACCGCCCCGGCTGCCGAGACCCCGGCCCGGGTTGTACGCAGCTCGGGGCTGCGCCTGGGGGAACGGCGCCTCGAGCCCACCGTGGGGGCCAGAAGTGGGTGTGTTGGAGTCTGGGGGTTTGTTTTGGTTTTTTGTTGGTTTTTTTTTTGTTTTTAATCCACTCATATTGACTATTTTTGGTTTTGTTTTTAATCCGCTGATATTGACTGTGTGACTATTGCAGTGTCAGAGTAGGGCTTAATTTTAGAAATGCTGGATCAGCTGTGAGAAAGGTGAGTGGAAACCACAGCAGACTGGGCTCTATCCTGCAGGACAATGAAGTCTGATAAAACAGGAGCTGAACTTTTTCGGCCTCTGTATGGGCCTGTTCTTAGTGTTACACTGCTAACTCAAAACTTTTCTTCTGTTCCCTGACAACTGGGGAAATGGAAGGTCTCGAATCATGTCTGAAACAGACTGTTGTTCTTCTGTATGCAGGGGCTGCTGGAGGAGACTGGATATAACTGGACAGTTGTAAAAATTAATCTTGATGATGATTTTTTGTTTGAATTATATACAAAACTATTCTTATGGGAATCAAAAATAAACTGTCTGATAAGGCACACCTTTATTCACAGAAGCCTGGGCTGTCTTATATGTTCTTAATGTCATATGAAAAAAAATCCTGGCTAGTTCTTTAGTATTTTATAAAGCATTTATAAAATGTTAGGGAGTCTTTATAAAGAATTTATAAAATATTGAATTTAGTAACAGATCAAAATGTAAACATGCTGAATACTATGCAAAGTAATGTCTCAAAACATGTTTATAAGGTTCTCATCTAATCTTTTCCCCTCGTACTGAGCTCAAATGTGAGCCTCTGACTAGTCATGATTCAATTAACTCTTGGTCTTTTTGTTTGGTTCATCATTGCTGGTGGTTTGCATTGAGTCTTTTATGGCAAAAGAGAAAGACATAATCCTGCCAAATGACAAGTTAATGCTCTCAGGTAATTTATCTGAACTGCAATTTGTCATGCTCCATTTCCAATAGTAAACCATGCTAATAGTAATGTGTAAGAAAACCACGGCCTCTCTTGAAAATTCCATTTCTTTCAGGGGCTGGACATAGGCTTGTAGGTATGGGGGAAAACACTAGCTACAGCAGTAGATAATTTTTCCAGAAGAGTGAATGGTCATGAGAGGCTTTTGGCGTTCCTCTTGAGTCAGGATTTCTTGCACATATGCTGTTGTTGTCAAGTCAGAGAGGAAGAGGTTTTCAGGAAGTGATCCTGTAAGTCCAAATGGACAGAAATTCCACTATTAAATAAGTGTCCTGGCAGCCTAGCTGTAAATTTAAAAACTTGACCATATTTTTCTTGGAGTTCTGCAAAACGTGTGCAATAGTATGTGAAAGGTCTGAAATTCAGCGTAGGTGCCTTTCACAGAAGATATACACCTCTGGAGTCCAGGTTATTAGTGCAGACAGATCTGCTGCTACTACATTGATGCTTGCAGGTTTTTCAACGGACAAGGACTGCTTTTCTTTTCAGAAATGGAAAATCCTGAAGTGGCTGCGAGCAGCTGCAGTGCACATGAGGATGAAAACCTTTGCAGCTACAAACGACACTCATCAGTATCACAGGAGGGGCTTTTGGAAGACCAGCTTAGAAGGAAGCTAAAATTTTTCTTCATGAACCCGTGTGAGAAATTTTGGGCCCGGGGCAGGAAGCCTTGGAAACTTGGGATTCAATTACTCAAAATAGTAATGGTTACAATTCAGGTGAGTACCTATGGAAGCAGGGACTCAGCTTAATGGGATGTCAAATGAATGCAGGTGACATGCAATAGCATGGTGTGCTGCAGAGAAAGGGAAAGGATAGGTTGCAAAATTATCTTGTTTGCATATATGTAGCTAAGAGCTCTGGACTGAAAAAAAAAATAGCCTTCCAGTACAGATGAAAGGAGCTATGTTTAAGGGCTCAACTTGACCTTTTACTTTACTTTTTTTTCTTTGCCCTTTTTTTCCCCCAACGGATGACATCCCTACACATCTGTTACCCCAGTACCTGCTTCACTGTTCTGTTTGAGAGAAGGAGAAGTAATTTCTGTTTCAATATCACAGTGATAAGAACTGAAATTGCTGACTTTTTTACTTTTTTTTGTTCGCTTATAACTTGCATATGGCATACAAACTCTTGCATTGAAAAAAAACCTCAGAAATTCTTCCTCACCCTTCCTCTCGCCCAGCCTTGCACTGCAGATTTCATACAACACATTTATCTACTGCTCAAAACACAGCTGTTTGTCTCAAAGTTCTGTGGTTAAGGCAGAAGAAACTTTTCACAAAACCTCTCTAAGACCTCAGATGATCCTTTTGAGTTGCCCACATGTGATTTCCCTTTATGGTCATGCCAGTGCTATGCCAATAGCATGGTATAGAAAATAATGTTTTCCTTCCATTTGCATGAATGATGGCACAAACTGCAGTAAAAGCTCTCCTGCTGTGCATCTGGCAGCATGTTTGTGTCCCTTACGGTTTCATTTTTAAATGTGTCATCATTCTCTGGTTGTCATCTCTCCCATTTTGCAACTAAAAGTAAAATTTGATGATGGAAGAATCCAAATAAGAAAGAAACTACTGCTGATTTTGTATTTTCAGAGAAAATCTGCCTGCAGTGTTGATTTGCTGGTGTATTCCTGTGTGCTGAGCCTGCTGAGCTTGCCTACAGAGCATTTCAGTATCTCTGTAACTGAGTTACCCTTATCAAAACCTGTATATCCAGTTTGCACCATGGCCATAAATCTGTAGACTACTGATTCAGACTTATCTCTGCCGAGTTTCTTCACAATACACCTGACACCAGATTTGAAATAACAGTCAAGAGAATTGTGAGTTCCAAGAAACAATACATCATGTACTTCTAGAAACCTTTTCCAGTCTAGATAGTAGCTAACAGATTTTATGCTCACTTTTCATGAACAGTTGCAATATATTTTTTTTTTTTACTAGCTTCAGGTGTTATCCTGTTACAAGCACAACTTTGGTGAGTTATTTTCAAGGCGCTTTTCACTGAAACTTGTTTGGGAGATGTTTATTTTCCTGAGTTGTCCTCAATTTCCCTTTTGTGCACTGGAGTAAGGACTTCAAAGTGGGGTCTTGTTAAGTCTAGTCCTGTCTTTTTGGCTGAGGAACAATGATATTCCCCCAGGTCAAGTCAATTGACGCTAGGCCAAACTAACAAAGCATGTGTAACAGTATACAGGGAGCTAGAACCTGAGATGGTACCGTTTTCTTTGTAAAAATTCAAGTCCTTGGCCAAGATGCTGTAAACATGTTAAAGGCATATTGTGAAACCCACTGCTTCCTTAAAGTCAAACTTTCGTTTGACCAGCTGTGGAATGGAGCAGCCTGCATGTAATTGCCATGTCTAGCACTGAGGCAAAAGACTGTTCCTAGAACAGGATTCATATCTTTAACCAGAAGCCAACTTTGTCTCTGAACAGGAAATATAAATGTATTTTTCAGCTGGTGGTTTTTGGACTGAGCAATCAAATGGTGGTTGCCTTCAAAGAAGAGAACACTATTGCATTCAAACATCTGTTCTTGAAAGGATATATGGACAGAATGGATGATACCTATGCTGTGTACACACAAACAGATGTCTATGACCAGATATTCTTTGCAATAAACCAGGTAGGAATTGTTGCTGCAATATGTACAATATATATGATCTTTGCCTGGGTGCTTTTTTTTGAATTGAACTTCTGTGTCAATTGCTTAAGACTAAAACATCAACTGATTTAGGTTTTCTGTCATTGCTAGAGTACTATAGTGTGGTAACATCCTTAAAGCTAGTCAGTGTATACTGGTTCTACGCTAAAAGCACTCCTTGGATCTGAGCCAGAATTCTTTGCAGGTAACAAATTAGGCTTTTTAGCAAGGAGAAACATAATAAGCAAAAAGGTATGTAGATCCAAATCCTGTACTTAGTGTTTTTGTCAAGTACCTTAAGATATTTGAGGACCCATCTATTCTGTGGTTTAGGTTTCACAGTTCTTTAGGTGACGTTTTACATAAAAGAGATGTATTATAACCAATCCAAACACTTCTCACTTGCTTTGTTTTGTTGGGTTGGTTTGGTTTGGTTTTTTCCCAGAGACTAACAGTCTTATTGCTATTTAAGTTGGTTTGTTTGTTTTGAACTTTAGTACCTCCAGCTGCCCAACATCTCTGTTGGAAATCATGCTTATGAGAAGAGGGGAGAGGAAGAGACACCTCTGGCTGTTTGTCAGCAGTTCTACAAGCGAGGAATCATCTGTCCTGGAAACGACACCTTTGATATAGACCCAGAGATTGTGACTGGTGATGAACCTAATCTATTTTATCAGTTCTTTGGGGGGATGGGACCTACATTTTTGATAAATTCTTTAAAAAACTTTACAGTATAGTATGGTCTTATCACATAATCTGTATTGAACTTACTACCAGCCAAAACTGGTAAGAAAAGTTCTGTGTAACTAACCTCTAGCCCTCACCTCTAATGCCACAAAGAAGTGATGAGCCTTTAGCACCGGTGACCATCTACTACAAGGGTTTAGGGCTAATTTTCAGGAGCAATCCCTGTGTTCAAGGAAGCCAGTGTATTTGTCAGTTGGCTTCTCAGATGACTCCTCACTCAAGTGTGCTATCTTGTCTGGTGTAGCCAACAGCTAATAACAGCCTCGGGAGTGGGACAGGCAGATTACGGTTAAAGACCCTGATAACCCATGAGATATTGTTGTGAGTCCTTATCCATTCCAGACTGCTTGTACATTGAGCCAACGACTTCCCTAGATAACGCAACAATGGGAAAGCACAATTTGAATTTCACTCTGGATTTCCCCAGGTGAGGAGGAATGAGTACCTGCTGTGTTGGGGTATTGGTGCATTCCCCCTGTGCAGGGCTGACCTGAAGCTCTGTTGCAGGCTGGTGGCGGTGCAGCTCATGTTCAATCTGAAGGCAATCAACCTCCAGACAGTTCGTCACCACGAGCTCCCCGACTGTTACGATTTCACTCTGCGGGTATGTGGAAGCCTGCCACGCATCTTTCTGCTCAAAACCAGAAAATGACTTGCTGGTTTACTGCACATGGTCAGCACAGGCATTTTCTGAAGAGTGTTGAGTACCACTGGGTCAGTGGTGCCTGGATTACTCTGTTATGGCTTAGTGCAGCCTGTGAATAACCAGCAGTTGTCGCTGTGGAAGGTTAAGCTTTGAGTGCTCCTGATGTGGTCCTGAAGTACTTGCTTGGTTTACAGCCACTTGTGCTCTAATCCATTTGAAGTATACTGAAAGTGTAAATCTCTTCTCTTTAGAGATGCTTCTAGGAAAGGTTGTTTTCAGATCACAGAGGAATGAGAATGTAGTTTTAAAAAAATTCACCTCATAACTAGTTGATCAAACAATTTGTGGCAAATCCATGGTTCAGCAGATTTGTCTTTCATTTTTGACAGCATTTATTTGAAGATACTTGATTTAGTTTAAGCTTAGAAAAGTTTTGTAACTTCTCCCTTAGGAGAATTATTCTGCATCATTATGCAGGCTTAGCAATACAGTGGGCTACGTATGTAATTGTTTAACTTTATGCATCTCTTTTTCATTTGTTGTTGTTTTTATTACAGATTGTGTTTGATAATAAAGCACACAGTGGAAGAATTAAAATAAGTCTAGACAATGACATAGAGATAAGGGAATGTAAAGATTGGCATGTTTCTGGATCAAGTAAGTGACACAAATGTGTTCAAATTTTCATGCTGAAATTTTGTCCACTAGCACAATGCTTGTTAACCTTTTTCTTTATAAAAAGGTGGGGCACCATTGACATACAATCTCTAGTATGTGCACTCTAAATCTGATTTTCTCAGAAATTGTTGTTCATCAGCCTCTAATCTGAAAACCTGGGAATCCAGCCACACCATTACTTTCTGTAGCAGTTCTCAAGGCTTGCACCATTGATAATGTCAAACCAAAATTTTTCCATGTCTCGCTGTACGTCCTTTTCTCTTTTGCTACTGAATTTATGCTGCTCTTTTCTTTAGGCAGAGTTGTGAAACATTCTAGCACCAGGCAACAGGTCACATGATAGTGGTGGAAAGTTGAAGCTGATTTACTCTTATTTCAGGACTTAGCACCAGGAAAGATAAGGAAGCATTGCTGGTAAAGCTTGCTGGAGTGGAATGGCTAGAAACACTTCTTATTGTTGCTTAAATGCCATTTGCTGTGTATTTGGCCATAAAGGAAGTGCACAAGGTATTTCTTATATGGTCACTCACAAGAGTGAGCCACCTTTGTTGGCAGATATTTGTCCTGGTCAAAACATCATCTTTTTTCATTAACAAAAGTAACCTCTTTGATAGTCAGAAGCTTTCTGGGACTTTTAGATTCCACCCTGCAATAGGATGAGCCAGGTCCTTCTTTCTACTTTGCTACTTTCTCTGTTGCTACACCTGTGTTAGGGAATGAAGGGCTGGTAGTGAAAAAGGATACGCGGTATTTTTGTAAAGATCCAGACTGGAGTTAATGACTGGGGCCGAAGGAAGCGCCTGCCGGAGCCCGGCCCCCGGTGCCCGGGCCGAGCTGCCGTGCCGGAGCCCGGCCCCGGTGCCCGGGCCGAGCTGCCGTGCCGGATCCCAGTCCCGGTGTCCCGGCTGAGCTGCCGTGCCGGAGGCCGGCCCCGGTGTCCCGGCTGAGCTGCCGTGCCGGAGCCCGGCCCCGGTGTCCCGGCTGAGCTGCCGTGCCGGAGCCCGGTCCCGGCTGAGCTGCCGTGCCGGAGCCCGGCCCCGGTGCCCGGCTGAGCTGCCGTGCCGGAGCCCGGCCCCGGTGCCCGGGCCGAGCTGCCGTGCCGGCGGTGCCCGGCGGGCGGCGCTGGGTGCCCGGGGGCGCCGCGGGCGCAGCGCCGGCTCCCGGAGCTCCTCGCGGGCTCTGAAATCCCGGGAAAGGTGGGCACGTAGTGGCTGCAGCTGCACAATTACAGCTTGCTGCTGTTCCGCACTGCGCGGCAAAACCAGCTTAAATGGCAGCAGTGTAACAAGGAAGTGCTGGGTGGGCTTTTTCTGAGTAGTGCAGTTCGTGAAGTCAGCTAGAATTTCAGCAGCCCATTTTGTAGAATTGGTGCATGTTCTTGCAGATTTAGCATTTACTTGTTTGATTTGTTTTTCTCAAACAACCATCCTTTTAGCATTAAAAATCTAATCTTTCTACTCTCTCACCTATTTTCAGCTGTATGGCAGGTATAAAAACAAGCAAAATAAAAGATTTGGTACAATGTTTAACATAAAATTATCAATAATGTGAATTTTAGTAACATAAGAGATGGAGAACTCATGTTTAACTCAATACTGATCTTGACTAGCTAAGCAATAGTACAAGTTATCTGCACTGCCCTAGGTCAAAAAACTGATTATCAAATACTAATCTGAAAGGGAAGATACATATAATAATGTTCCTAGGATTTTAAAAAAAAATATTTCTGAACAGCTCTATGACTCTAAAGGCCATCCCAGTCCCTGTAAAATGATTAACTCTCACCTATAATCCTGCAGGGCTGTAAGAAGCACTCACACTTTGGTATATTTTTGATGTGGTATCAACCCTCCTAAATTTATTGAAGTAGTATCTGTCATGCAGATGCATTTGTGTCTTTCATAAAATATGTCAGATGAACTTTTGTGGGGAAAATGCTCTAATTTTTCTTAATTCAATTGTATAAATATAGTCAACATCAAAACTTGATTTTTACTTAAATGATGATCAATAAGAACAAAGGCACTATAAGCATGTACATTTTTGTTCTTGCAGTACAGAAGAACACTCATTACATGATGATCTTCGATGCTTTTGTCATATTGACTTGTCTGGCTTCATTGATCCTTTGCACACGATCAGTGATTAAAGGAATTTGGCTCCAAAGGGTGGGTATAGCTCCTTCTTTGGAAAGCCTTGTCTTTTGTAAGACTGACTAACTGTTTTCTTTCCTCCTTTTCCCTAGGAATTTGTAAGCTTCTTCCTATATTATTATAAGAAAGAAGTATCTTTCAGTGATCAAATGGAATTTGTCAATGGATGGTACATCCTGATTATAGTTAGCGATGTCCTAACTATTGTTGGATCAACTCTAAAGATGGAGATACAAGCTAAGGTAGGCTTTTCACGCTGTCAGATGGAAGCAAAACTGTTTCTGTCCAACCTCAGTTGGAGGATGTTAGGCTGGCTGTACTTGTTTCTGAGTAGCATGACATTTTAAAATTCTATCTTCTCCTCCAGAATTGCAACTCGTGCATGTTGTTTCTGATAGCAAGATTTAAAAACTCTAAATATCACTCTATATTATAGTGCTGAATTATCTTTGCTCCCTGTGACTCTAAGGAATAAAATGTAGTTCATCTCTGAAAGTTTGACTGTTGACATCTTGCCTTCCTCGCATATATTTGTTCATTTGATGAATTTCTTCAAATCTAGAATTTAACTTTTGGAACTCTGTTTACAAGTGTTTAACAGAGTCTTTCTCCTTAAATATCACTTTGCTGCTTTCCCAGCTTCTGTTTTCCAGCATGTACATAACAGTCAGCCACAGCAGGTTCTGGGCTTTCACTTTCTAAAATAAAATTGATATGGACAAAACTGAAATACGTAAAACATATTTTACAGAATTAGGGAAGAAAAATTATTATAATATGCTATCCTGAACCACTCTGATATTCAGATAATATTGTTCTTCACAACATCTGTAGCAGACTTTGAAGTGTGACATTGCAACATAGTGAACTTTGGACACTAGTGATGAGAGGATGGGTCTGAAATCCATCTGCTGACAGCTTGACTATCACAAACACCCTGTACAAATTGCCCTGTCTCACCATAGGACCTGTAAACTCACTGAGAGTAGAAAGAAGCTGTGAGGAAGCTGGCTAAGACAAGAGATAGCTCTGTCCTGCTTTGGGAAAAGCAAAGAAGAGAACAAGACTGGAATCAGACCTTGCATTTGGGATTCCTGTATCTTATATTATATATACATCTGTTTATATAAGTAAGAGTATTTTACTAAAACTCCTCTCTACAGGTCCATTTTGGTCCATTTTGCAAGCCTTGTGGACCATAATAGCAAGATCCTGTTCCATGTTACTGTATGAAAGTGGTTGAATAACAAATTCACGTTAAAGTAGCCTAAATTTGTTTCTTGTCAAGCTCTAAACAAATTATGCAGATAGTAAAGATTAGCCAATATTCATTGCCAATATCTATTATTTATGTTTTATTCTTAGGAGAATAGAAACAGAAATGAATGAAAACTTCTTTTCAAATAAGCTGTCACGATCCATGTCAGAGTAGAGCTGCAGTTCAGGAACAGAGTACATGCTAATTTGGATGAAAACAGGCCAGTATCTATAGGTGGAAAAAGCAACAAAGTGCCAATAGATATAAGTTCCAGAGAGAATTCATTAGAAGCTAATTAGTCTCCCCCTTGATAGCTTTATATAGCTCATAGTTCCCACTACATAACAAGATTCTCCTGAGTATTTATTTGAGCAATGCTGATAAGTCATGATAACTTTTACAAAGAGGTTTTCCTAACTACTGAAAGAACTTTATTTGTTCTGTGTCATGTTTACACTGTCCATTGGATGCAGTGCAGAGATTCCTAAGATGCTCTGAGGAATCTGTCAGTGCAGGTTCCAGAAGCAGTTGCTGCAAGTCTGGAAGCAGCATAAAAATGTTTGCAGTGCTACTGCAGATCTTGGTGAACTGGGTACAGAGGAGGTGTCTGCTTCTGCAATGCACCTGCACTCTTGGCCTTGCAATTAAAGCTCATCTTGTTAGAATCTGTTTTACAAACAGCCATGTGTAAAGGCATGAGCAACTAATGAAATTAGTTCCACTTCAAAGTGCCCCTGCTCTTTTGTGGGATCTCTCTAATGTATATTACCTCAAACTAATTTCTAATTGGGAGAGTTTGCCAAAGGAAAATTATTTCTAAACGAATCTTCATAATAATGAGAGTCACGATTAAGAATCTGTTAGTTGTTACAGTAATTAATTTTTTCCTTTATTATTTTTTTTTACTTCTTCTCTTGCCTTTTTTCAGAGTCTGACAAGTTATGATGTCTGCAGCATACTCTTAGGAATATCTACTATGCTTGTGTGGCTTGGAGTCATTCGCTACCTTAGTTTCTTTCAGAAGTATAATGTAAGGATCTCCTGGGATCTTCATATTGTTGGTATTTATTCTGTTTGTTGCTATAAGAGGACTGGAAGAAGTATCTGGTTGAATTCTGACTGTTTGCATTGCTTTGTGCAGCTTCTCATCCTAACACTGCGAGCAGCATTACCCAATGTAATGAGGTTCTGCTGTTGTGCTGCCATGATCTACCTGGGCTATTGTTTCTGTGGATGGATTGTACTGGGACCATACCATGTCAAGGTAATGTTCTGACCACGAAAAAAGACAGCTTGAATAACAGAATGAGAGATTCCTATTGTTGTTTTCTAGTTCTCCATGTCAAGGCTTCCCTTAATGTAAAAATAGTGCATCTGCAACATGATGCTGCTCTGTTTGAGGAGTCTGAATTCCATGACTCAATCAGACTTTCCTCAGGTTATGAAAGCTCCAAGTCAGAAGTGGAAGCTGGAGTGACTCCCAATCACATGCTGATATTTTAAGAAATAATTTCCATTTTGTAGAACATTGGTATCAGACTAAAACTCCAGAGACGTTATGCTTATCACTCTTAAATGAGAGATTTGCTTATCTGAATTGAATGTGCGTGTGTATAGGAGGTGACAAACTGTTCCTCAGATGTTTTACTGTTTACACCTTGTCATCCCCTGGGTGTAGGAAGAGATCTGAGGCAGCCAGCCATCTCAGTGTATGTTCTTCCTGTCGTGTACAGTCTTTGTGTCCAAATAAAGCAGTGACACGTCTTCTTCCCTCCTCTCTAGTTTCGCACTCTGAACATGGTTTCTGAATGCCTTTTCTCATTGATCAATGGAGATGATATGTTTGCCACCTTTGCACAAATGCAGCAGAAAAGTTACTTGGTTTGGTTATTCAGTAGGATCTACCTCTACTCCTTCATCAGTCTGTTCATCTACATGGTGCTGAGTCTCTTCATTGCACTCATTACAGATACATATGAAACAGTCAAGGTAAGCACAGACTTAATTGGAATAACAGTGCAAGATTGGTGCTATCAAAACTGTCATCTCCCTCAATATTTTAACTTATAGTGCATGCCAATCTAAAGGATAAATATAATGACTACTTTTGATGGTGTAAATTGATGATATGAGGGGTTTTAACCCTCTCTACTTTATTTTTCTTAAAAATTCTGTCTGTTTTTCTGCTCCAATGGAAGCTAAATATCTACTAAAAAGCAGTATTTTCATATTAGGTTCTATGAATCTTCTAATTTCAAACTTGAGCAGTGTCTCAAAAGTGGTCTGGGGAGAATTTGTGTTATTGTAGGTTTTAGCCTTTTTAAAAGTTTAATTAAGTACCAATTTTTAGCACTACCAGCAAGATGGCTTTCCAGAGACAGAACTTAAGAGATTTATATCACAGTGCAAAGACTCACCAAGCTCTGGGAGGTACAGGTTAGAGGAAGAAAGTTCTGCATCTCTCTTCTGTTGTTGTAATGGTATGTATCTATATTAAAAATTATCTATTAAGGTATATACTAAAGCAACATGCTAAAAAATGTCCCTGGTACAATGTTTATGAAAAGTACTTAAATTTTGGGGGAAGTTGTGGGGGGGGGGGAAACCCACACAAAATTCCCAAACTATTCTAATGAACAGAGCGGTTCGGCAAAATGTCTACAGCCAACAATTTTCTTAGAAGATGTGAGAGAACTTCCAAAGATTAAGAATTACTTAACATGTGAAAAATTATACAGAAAGTATGATAATATATACAGTAACTTGGGAATCCCATATGTGCAATGTGTAATGTGTAAGCATTAACATTTCCTGTACTCGCTGCAACAGGCAGGACTAACAGAACTCCTTCAGTGTTCTCTTATTCACTTTTTAATCATACCTTGTGCAGGTAACAAGCCTGAATCTCGGGGGGAAAATCAGCTTGTCAAGGTTTTAAGACAGCATGCAGTTTAAGATACTACCACAGCACTTGGAAAACATTGCCTAACTTCCATTATGGAGGGGAAAATGCTTCAGTTATTTGAAGTTGTGTTTCTTCAGGAATACTGATTGCAGGATACATGGTTTATATTTAACCTGGCTGGCAGCAAGTCTGATTCTTCCTGAAGAGCCTTTTGGTGGGGGAGCTGAAAAATTTTGCTGCTTGATTAAAAAGATCAAATGTGCAATTCTTTGGTATTGGGTTTTTCTGGTGGGCTGTGTTGTTATATGCCTGATAGAACATATTTATGAGAGGGAGGGGATGGGGATGTATTTTGGAGCAGGGAGATGACAGAGCCTGCTGTGAGCCAGCCCCTGTTCTGACCGAGTGTCTTAGTGGAGATAAAAGTGTGGGGTGAAGCGGAGCAGGGCATCTTGCTCTGGGTAAAGGGCATGGACACATTAATATTTCCTTTTCTGCACACACCTCTCTGTTTAACCAGACAAAAAAGCCAGCATAAGATGGGTCAGGGTGGGGATGTAATAATTTTCTTACTGACTGTGCAGTGGGGATCAGGCATCTGGGAGAGCAGTCTCATATTCAGAATGTTTTCTGGTGGTTCATAGCAGTTTCTTGTCAATGGATGTCAAATTATTAATAGTTCAGTTGCATTTTTAAGGCTCCTTGTACAGTGAAACTATTATTTTGAAGCATGTGCCTGACAACTTCCTCTTCTCTCTTGTACAGGTTGTAGTGAATATATTTAATGGATTGTGGGAGTGTATCAGGGAGGCTTTAAAGCAGCACACATTGCAAGAACTTGACAGTGGAGCTGGTGGAAAACCTTATCTCTGAAGACTTAATTTGCTTTTCTCAAAAACCAGTGTAAGCCTATGGCAGAAGTTTATGCTAAACTTACAGACCTTTTGTTTAGACATTCACTGCTTGTTCAGGGGGTTTGGGGATGGTTTTTAATAGTTTTATTCTATTTGATTCCTTAGTTAAATTGTGCTGGAATGCAAAGGCATAAGAACCTATCCGTGTTCAGAGACTTGGCGAGATCATAAGAGTAGAATATAAATGTAGTAACTTTCAACTATAAGTAGAACTAGTGCTGGACAACTTCAGCTTCTAACATCAACCTAGCCCTCAGTACTGCAGGCATTATCTGTCTGTGGCTGACCGGTTACTGAAGGAATGAAAGCTCATTAGAGCCTTCAGAATTTTTTGTTTATTTGCACTCACAGTAAAAAAATTACTATGAAAAGTTGTGTAATTTGTTTCTGGAGTCATTACACTGAGTTGATACACAAACCACTCAAATATAGCTGAAAGCATAAAATAAATATTTCTTTAAACACAAGTACCACTGGATGTAAGTGGCAATCTATTCTCAGAGAAGCTGGGATATGCCAGGCTGAACTGAAGTTTCAGGGATGAGCTGAGTGGAGAAGTGTTCTCATGTATCAAGCACTGGGCAGTCAGTTACAGTCTTCAGCTTAACAGTGTTTGGATCTTACATATTTAAAGGAAAAATCAGAAAAAAAGCCTTTCAAAATACCTATTTTTTAAAATTTTGAAATCTTCCTCTGGCATACAAGTCTGTAAACATGAAGTCTAAACTGAGTTAAAGACCCAGGAGATATATCTCTGAGAGTCTAATCTCTCCACTCTTTAGAAACTGGATGTTTACAAGCAACCTAATAACCTGCTACTGTCAGTGGCTGGAGGAATCATTAGCTCTTACAAAAGTTCAGTTTTGACAACTTAGTTTATATTCTTTGTTGATTGTGATACTATTTAATGGATGCCTTATTTTCTATAGTCTGTTCATTCTGGGAGCAGAATAGAAAGCTAAAGGGAAGCATATTTTAGAGAACTTGAATTTGTGAGCAACGTTGCTGTAGCTGTGTGTGACAATGTACAATGCTGTAGAGGACACAAAACATGTTCTGTCTGAATGCTTACACATTGTAAATGTGCTACAATAAACACTTACAGCTGCAGTAAGTATTGGGTGTGTCAGTAGTCATCTTTGGAGTAAATATGTTGCCAGGTTAATATAGGAGCTTTGTTTTTTAATAATGCTATACAATTTCTGGCATGAAATAGTGTGGAGTGTGTGACCTTGGATTTCCTGTAGTCATGCTCGTTCCTGTGGACCCTGCTGAGGACCTGTTTCCAGCTGATGTTTAACAGCATTTCAGAATTTGCCATAGGAACAAATATTCAAGTATTTAACTTTACACTAAAAACACTCCTCAAATTCAGCAAAGGCATACCAAATACAAGGCATAGGCAGATTATTCACAGTATCTGAAAGTTTTGTGTACTGAGGTCCTTCTTTGTCAACAATCACCTAAGATTGAAGACTTTTGAAACTTCAAGAAGACGCAAGGCAGTCTTGCCTCAAAAAGCAAATATCAAGTGACCATGTTTTCTCTTGACACGATTAACTCCTTATGGATCTTTGACAACACACAAGATATAATGTGCACATCACTGTTGTGTACAGTAATTTATGTAAGGAACCCTGGCAAGGGTGGCAAGCACTTTAAGATCAATGAAATGCAGAAGGCAGACTTGCATGGCTTTTTCATACAGAGTTAAGAGAAAGCTAATAATTAACTTAAAATGCAGGTATATTTTGTAAAAAGCTACAGAATTCTTTGCCAATGCAGTTATAAGGCAAGAAATGGTCTGATTTCATTTAGAAATGGGGTAGAACATGTGCTTTGTCACCATTAACTTATTGAATTTACAGCAAGTTTCAACAAAATTTGACAGAGCTCTAAAGTATCAAATTCTTACAGAGTTTTAGAATAGCAGAGAGAAAGCCTGTTAATAAAAGCCTGCAGTATGAGCATAAGGCATGGAGATCTACAACAGGTGACCACAAAGCAGGAAAATACACTGTATATAGAGTCTTCCTATTCCTAATACAAGTGGCGAAGTCTTCCACTGAAGATTGGTTCCTATTGCCTGAAGTGAAGCAGTGAAATCCCTGGCAGAGTCATTAAGTTATGACATATGCTTGTGCTACAGCTAAAAAGTCAATCAATTGGGATGCAGAAATTATTTGGAAAACCATGGTCTGTGTTACTTCTGCTGGATTCCACAACTTTTAATTTAGCATTGTTGGGAGTTATGTAGGTTTGGGGAGGAAAGGGTTGATGTTGCCTTCAGACAGTAATGGGGAGGGGCAGACTGTGAAGCCAGAGTGGTGGACTATCTATAAGAAGGAGAAGGATGTTTAAAGCAAAGGATAGGACGGGATGAGGAAAAAAAAAGATTGCTTTTAAATTTAGCAGGGCAGCAATCATGTATTTCTGGCTATGGGTGCAGGCAGTTACACTGGGGAAGGACAGTACCCTGAAAGATTACTGGCTTACAACTGCTCAAAATGTCCTGTTCTGACTGGGAAAATAAATGCTGCTTGTATAATATATCTCATACTTGCGTTCTGGTTTTTTTAAAGAAAAAAGCTGACACTCAAACTCGCATTGTTCATCTTTGTGCTACTGCTGGCAGTCTAAGTGCTTGCTTGTCCAGGTTTCTGACCTGTGTGATCCTTGGTATTTAAGGTCATCTGCATATTTTGCTTACCTGAGAAGCCAGCCAATGCTGTGTTTTCTGGCCTGCTGGCTGCATTTGAGATGAAGTACAGCTCTGCCAGATCTGTGACTGCTGCTGTTGTGTGTGTGGTGAGACTTTTAAATCTTATCAACATAAGATGTGCTGGTTATGGCCCTGCAGAGCCAAGATATGTGACAATGATCTTATTCTAAAAAAACCCTTGTGACTTGAGAGTATCAGTGATCTCAGCATTAGCAATGCTGGTAGCACATACAAAGCTGCATCCTGGAGACATCGGTATCTTTATGCTGATACAATCAAGCAGGCACAGATAGAAGTGTAAAATGCAGCTGGGGAGAAGAAAGAAGCAGATAAAGCATCTGATAAACTCATGCTTAAATATGCCCTCCTAAGGAAAACAGCTTTCAGCCCTGACCGAGATGCTGTGAAGGGTAAGAGATTTTCTTTGTTCTGATTCTCACTGGGCTCTGGGAAGTCACCTGAACATACCAATAGTCAGTACTTCCTCATGAAAATAAGTCACAGAGTGCTGTATTGGGCAGCAGCTGTTTTCCTACCAAGGCTTATTTCAATGCCAATGTTTTGCATATACAGTTAGGGAGAACTTCTTGTTTTCAGCAGAGCACGGATCTTTTAACATAATGAAGTTACACTGAGAGGAAGAGGTGATGGGCTTACTTGTTTCCAGTACCAGTTTCCATGTTGGATTGAAGCACATTCTTGAGAGAAGGTAAACAGTGTGTATACAAAAGAGTAAGAAATTAAATTCAGATGTGCTCATCCCTATCCAGTATTAAAATGTGTAAAGGCATAATTTAGCTGGCAGATGGGGGGACAGGAATGGAAACAAGAGGTAGGAAAACACAGACACTGTAAAAAACAAAACTTGTGGCTGCACCTGTGAGGAGCATCTTCCTGCCTCAAGCAGTAACTAATGCCAGAGGAAGCCTTGAGAAAACTTTCATGCATGAGCTGACACATGTGACATTAGTGCTCTTGCAGCTTATGTTGAGAAACTGTGTATGGATATTTGCCTGGGCTTTTGTTCCTTTTTCTGCCTTACAGTGTGACCACAACCGCAGCATCATCTGAGAGCATTATGTAAGAATCCTGTGCTGCCCATGCCCACTGTGTGGGCAGGTAGAGAGCTCAGTTGCTGCAATGATGCCTCTTATGAGTCTACATTCTGTTTTGAACACCCTAGTTTGGAGTAACTGCATTAAACCACATCCTCTGAGAAACTAAATACCTCTTGACCTGCAAAAAACCAACTCTGTAGTAGCTAATCTCACCTGCAGTCTTCCCTGCATGTTATTGCCATGTCTACAACTACTAGCTAGCAGTAAGTCAACCACTGTTATGACAGAATCAGAGATTATGGTGAGTTGGAGGGGACCCACCAGGATGATCCAGTCTAACCCTCAGCCCTGCACAGGACATCCCCAAGTGCCACAGCAGCCCCGCTCGGGACATCCCCAAGAGTCGCAGCATGTGCCGGAGAGCAGCGAGCCTCTCTCCGGTGGGCAGAGCCCGCTCGGGGCAGGGGCCGCGGGAGCTGCAGCGCACGTGGGCGGCGGGCGCCCTCCTTCCCCCGCCGGGCCCATAAAGGCGGGGGGCGGACTGCGGGGCCCGGGCTGCTCCGCCGCAGTCCTGCCCCGTCCGGGCGGCGGCCGAACCCCGCGGCCCATGGAGATCCCCCTCAAGTCCCTCCCCGGCGGGCGGGCCGCCGCCAGCGGGTGAGGGAAGCGGCGGGGCTGAGCCGGGGTGGGAGCGGTGCTGAGCCCGCGGGTCAGCCCGCCCGGCAGCGGGCTCAGGGCGCAGGGCTGTCCCGCCGGCCGCGGCAGCACCGGGGCACTGGGGAGCCGCTCGGGAGGCGCTGCCGCGGGCGGGCAGCGGGCGCAGGGGCGCGGCTGCCCACAGGTAGGTGCTGCCGCCGCACGGAGCTGCCGCGGCCGAGCGCTCCGGGCGTGCCCCGCTGCGGCCGCTCCTCCCGCGGCAGCCGCGGGCTGGGGTCCGTGTCGGCCCGGCCGGCCCGGCTTTCCCCTCCGTTTCCGAGAGTGAGGCGGTGCCGTCCTCTGCCAGAGTGCTGAGCTTAGAGATCGGGAAGATGAACCTGGGGTTGCCCGGGCTGACATGTAGATCTCAACTCAATGATGGCTTTTTTTTTTTCGGGTTTTTTTCCGCCTTCTTGCCCCCTGAGGACCCCAGGGCTCTCGTTAATACCTGTCCAGGATACAGAGCTCAAAGCAGATACGGAGCTCTGAATGGACGCTGTTAGTGTCGCTGTACTAGTGAGTTACTCATTAAAGAAAGTGACTGTGCTTACTTACCAAGCACACTTTAGCCACTTGATTCAATGGTGCTTTTTCTGCTGGGTGAAGAGCTAACGACTACAAGTATATTTCATGAGTAGGTAGCTGTAAATTTTAGTCCTTACTGTTGAAACCTCTTTCTTGAATGGAATGTTGAGCTCTAAAATGCCTTGCTACAAAACAGCTGAACGAGACTGTCCTACTAGCTACAGGGATGAAGTGTTGGTTACAGCAGTGCAGCTGTTAGGAACTGTTATGATATATGAGACACATGACACATGGATGTGCACCTAAGCATGCATTATGCAGTTAGTCTTCATTAACAAAAAATTTGATTGTGTCAGTGCTTCACAAAACACACTATGGAAACCCATTGAGTGGTGTTAATTACATTAATGTGTCACAATTTAATTGCTTTATTGCTCTGTCTTGAGCTGGGTACTTTGTTTCGAAGGTTTAGATTATTAGGCTAATGACCATGTGGTAGAATTAGATGGTTTGTTTTAAATATGGTAGGTCACTGGTAATCTCTTGGAGCTTTTAAACTTCAGTGCTTTGGTTGAAGGTTATAGTTCTGCTGATTTAATGTGATCTATTTAGATGTAATTTTTAATCTATCCTAGGAATGAATTAATTCAAAACCAGTTGATCTATTTCACCAGTTGCCCTGTTACCTGTTTCACCTGTTTAAAAATGAATTCTTTCTTAAGTACTACACCAGAGAATTCCTGTTTTTTTTGCTTGGAAGACACAGTCCAACACTGATACAGGCTTGAATCTTCAATCTCTCTTTTAAGCCAAAAAAATGTGTTGCTTTCTTTGAAAAATTTCCTGCTCATATTTTTTACAGTTAATTAATAAAGGGAGCTAAAGACATTAATGAAAATAATGTCTAGCCACAAATGAGAGTTGTGTAAAGGGGAAAGTGCTGTTATTAATCAATATCAAGTTTTTGGAATAGCTGTAAGGTCTTGACACACTTCTTTGGAGTAAGCCATTATGTTTTTCATGCTATGTATTTGAATAGTAAAAAAAATATATATATTTTTATAAAGTTTTCTGTTTGATTTGTGGCGGTTTTGACCTGTTTTTGTATAGTTG